GGGGGGGGGGGAGGGATCTTGGGAAAAAATTTCCGAAAGACGAAAAAAGTTTCGAATCTTTCATTCAATACGACGTCCCGAAGATGTTTGCTATTCGGAAAATGAAGACGCAATAAATTATAAATATATTAAAGCCGCTTTTTATTAGACGCACCAGAAGGAATATTAATGTATCATAATTGAGAGAATTGAGTCAATTATTGACCAAATACAAACAAAAATACACATATTTTACGCATATTATAGAAGTGATAAACCGAAAAACATTCACCGATTTACGATTTGTAAATTGTTATGCATAATTCGATCAGTTTATACTGACAATACAATTCTATAATATTTTCTCTGTTTAACAGCTAAAATTTCGTTATACCATTATTGCCGTAATTTTCCGAATGGCCAACCCGATTTTTCTAATATGTTAATTCTAAAAAGGTTGGGGGGGGCAGGTTAAACAAACCCCAACCCTCCCTCGCTACGGCCCGGAGCGAAAAACAACATGAAAATGAATGCCTATTGCATTTCATTAAAGAAATAAACTACAGATAATTCAAAAAAGGTTGTCCATGGCAAACCTTGAACTCTAGATCTTAAACCTTAAACTCTAAGCGTGCAAAGCATAATGGGAGCATCATTTAATCAGTTACAATCTCGTGCACAGAGCCCGAGTACGTCATCTTCCAAGTATATTGTGGATTCACTCGTGTTCCATTGGTGTTCACTCGTGTTCATTCGTGTTCACTCGTGTTCCATTCGTGTTCCATTCGTGTTCACTCGTGTTCACTCGTGTTCACTCGTGTTTACTCGTGTTCATTCGTGTTCACTCGTGTTCACTTGTGTTCACTCGTGTTCTGACTCGTGTGGAGTTTTAGATCAGATCCCTCAAAAGCCGTAGGCTTATCAAGGACTAAGGAGGAGGCTCACATGAAATTGAGACTGAATTAAGGTTTAAATGAAATTGAGGTAGAGACCTTTAGCTTGACGTTTACGGCAAACGTCAAACCGCTAATCCTGAAACTAACTGCCGACCAAATTTCTTCTATTTGTAATCTTTTTAACCTGTCCTTAAATTAGGGGTTATGCCAATTGCATGGAAGGAAGCAAATGTGACACCTGTCTTTAAAGACGGAAATGCTGCTTGTGTGGAAAACTACAGGCCGATCTCTTTATTATGCATCCTCTCGAAAGTACTGGAAAGATGTGTTCATAACCACATCTATGATCTCATATCTTCTAGAATCAACAAACTGCAACATGGCTTCCAACGTCAGAAAAATTGTACTACGCAACTAATGACCTTTGACAAAGTGTCACATCCCTTGTTGTTACAAAAACTGGGAGAGTTTGGATTTCGTGGGCGATTATTGATGTGGCTTGGAAGCTATTTGTCTGGCCGAAAGCAAAGGGTTGTTTTAGAGGGACAACATTCAGATTGGTTGGATGTTTCCTCGGGAGTTCCACAAGGCTCCATCTTAGGACCTTTATTATTTTCAATATTCTTCAAAAATCATTAATAATTCATGAAGCAATTATCCAATCTTGAGTAAGAAATTAGTCACGTGCATACGTCTTTATAGCAGCTAAAGAACACTTTAACAAAAGACCATTGTTATGCAAACTATATAAAGATTTTTATATAAAGATTTTTATATAAAGATTTTTATATAAAGATTTGACTTATTATGCAAACGTTTTTGTAGCCATTTAAAAAACTCGCAGGTCGTGTTTTATTATAGGTCTAAAGCCAATAAACCTAACCTAATAAACCTAATAAAACACTCCTGCTCGTTTTTTAAATAGTACATAAACGACTTGCCAAACCAAATAGCGTCTCCCTCCCTAATGGGCCTTTATGCCGATTGCCGATGACAGCAAAATGTTTAGAGTAATAAAAAACGAAGCTGACGTGGAACAATTTCAGAGTGATCTGTCAAATGTTCATGACTGGAGTAGGGGATGGTGGATGCAGTTCAACACAAAAAAATGTAAATTTATGCGTTTGACGCATAAAAAGTCTTTCAAGCATATCCCGCATTATGATATGAATGGCGACTTGCTGGATCGAGTTAAGTCAGTGAAAGACCTAGGTATCTCGGTGACAGATAACCTACGATGGTCTCAACACATACAAGAGATAACTTTGAAAGCAAATAGAACCTTAGGCTTGGTTAAAAGGGTATGCAGAGATATAAAAGATGTCCATATTAGGAAAGCTCTGTACTGTTCGTTGATAAGACCTCAACTGGAGTATGCATCCGAACTGTGGTCCCCTGAACAAGTCACATACAAGCGAATGTTAGAAAATGTTCAACGAAGAGCGACTAAATTTATTCTGGATTACCCTCAACATTGCAGTTACACGATGAGACTAGTTAAGCTGAACTTGCTTCCCTTGGAACATAGAAGAACGTGGAACGATCTGGTTTTCTTTTTTAAATGCCAAAACGGCTTATACGATCTAGATGTCTCAAATATTGTAAAAAAACGGTCTGTCAGATATAACATTAGATCTTTTAACATTAACAATTTTCATGAGATTAGATGTAACACCGAATTTTATAGACACTCATATTTCCCAAGAGTAATCAGAGCTTGGAATCTATTGCCAGGTGATCTGAAGGCTGTTGCGGAGATTGGAGCCTTTAAGAGGAAACTGAGAACCTTTTTTTACAAAACTTTGAATAATTATATACCTCCGTAATTTTAATTCTAATCTATTTCTTTGGCTCTTAATCCCTTAATTTTAATCTTATTTTCCGCATTTTTTATAGGAGTTCTTTAATTTTAGTTGTAATTAAATTTGTACTATAATGTAAGTTATTCGTTCGTAATTGTAGGCAGATTCAATTGGGGCTACGCTCTGTCTGCTCACCAATCATCTGCTGTAAATTTGATGATGAAGTTATTAAACTAAACTAAACTAAACTAAACTAAACTAAACTAAACTAAACTAAACTAAACTAAACTAAACTAAACTAAACTTAACTAAACTAAACTAAACTAAACTAAACTAAACTAAACTAAACTAAACTAAACTAAACTAAACTAAACTAAACTAAACTAAACTAAACTAAACTAAACTTAACTAAACTAAACTAAACTAAACTAAACTAAACTAAACTAAACTAAACTAAACTAAACTAAACTAAACTAAACTAAACTAAACTAAACTAAACTAAACTAACGAGGTTTTTGATTATACAACTCTATTATAACAGCTTTTACAACAGTTTTGAAATATATTAAACAATTTTAAACTTATGGTATTTAACAATGATTCAAATTAACTCTGGTCATGTATTCACCAATGCAGTAAATTAAGATTTAACGTTTGAAGTTTACTTTTTGGCGTATAAATTCCATGCTTTAACGACTACAAACCCTCGTAGCAGTTCAAGCATAAAATTTATACGCCAAACGTCAACTTCAAACGCCTGATCTTAATTTACTGCTTTCGTGAATACGTGACTAGTGGTTAATTTACTTTCTTAAATCATTGCTAAAGAGTACAAGTTTAATTACTTTAATAAGTGTTTAATATACTTCAAAACTGGTGTAAAAGCTGCTATAATAGAGTTGTAAAATTAAAAACTTCGTTAGCGGTTTGTCGTTTGCCGTAAACGTCAAGCTAAAGGTCTCTAATCCAAAGGGGCTAGAAAACCACTTATATAGTTTCTAGAAAACCACTTAAAATCTTATAGTTTTTTGCAAGCTTTCTAATGATTTAGGATTTTTAATCATCCTCATTAAAATTTCAGATGGACGAGATGGCACCATTTTCTACGATTAATAACCACATCGAGAACTATCATTTTGCCAAAATGATATATCATGCTTTTTACTCAAGTGCACAATTTTACTTAAATTTGCCACTGCAGATCCTTCCCACTACGCGAGCACTATAGAGAGTACTAGAGTAGAGTGGAAAACGGCCTTTAATGACCAAAGCTGTCAAAAGCAAATTCAAAAGTCCAGTTTATGATTCAAAATTATTTAGTCTCTTATTATGAGTATTCTGTCAACTAAGTGATTAACGGCGAAGTTAATTAACAATAAGCCACTTGCATTGTTTTGTAAAGTTTCTTTGCGTATAAGTAAGATATATGAGTATATGACCTACCTCCTCCGCAGGCGCTTAGGGAGCATTTCGGGCAGGTTCGGAAAATGTTTAGTCTTTCGCTTTACGCAAAAGTGGCCCGCAAATTTGCACCGCCCGCAAATTTGCCCGCCGGAAAAGGGCCTGCGGAGGAGGTAGGTATATGACTGTGTCTGTGTGGTGCGAAACATGTAATAAAAACTACGGTATGAGACGCAATGCCAATGGAAATACCAACATGCAGGACGAAAAATAAAGACGGATTTTTCAACTAATTCCAACTAATTTTGCCCGATTGGTTTCGTCCTAAATTTATACAGGAGGGAAATCTTAGACGGAAATCCATCTTCAATAATGGATATTCGGCTAATCAGAATTGTGCATGGGATTGTATTTACTCAGGTTTACACCTGTCAATCAATCACCACATGTTATAATTGTTTTATATTATATTGCTTGGGCTTTATATTACATTGTTGGCTGGTTAATGTAAATTATGAACAGATTTTGTCTTTTTCTTGCTGGCAATTGTGGTGACTATTTGTCCCAGTTGTACATTGCAGATCAACGGTTGCAGCACATGCACCAGTGAACAAGCAGGATATCTTAAACGGAAATCCGTTTTAAATCACTCGGATATTCGGCTAATCAGAATTGTGGGTTTGTATTTATTCAGGTTTAACAAGCAAATTTATAAAATAATTGAAGATGTGCATATAAAAAGCTGTCTATGTGCATGTATAATATACACCAGTCAAACAGTCACCACATGTTATAATTGCTTTATATTATATTGCTTGGGCTTTATATTACATTGTTGGCCGGTTAATGTAAATCATGAACAGATTTTATGTATCAGTCTTTATCTTCCTGGCAATTGTGATGACTATTTGTTCCAGTTGTAAATTGCGGATCAATGGTTGCAGCACACCAACAAGCAGTAATTCCTGGCCTTACAAAAAAGATTTTACTCCAGCATGCAATCGTCACGACGTTTGTTATAGATGTGTAAGTTTATCATTTGTATACTGTAAACAAAATTTTTTGGCAATTAATCGTCTTTCCAGGAAAACTGCAACAGACTTAATAGCAACTAAGTTTTGCTACAGAATAGTTTCGACTGAGAAAATAGTTGAATATAGACAAGCGAGATTTCCTAAACGAGCTTTCTCGAACAAGTTCCTTTTGAAGGCCACATACACACAATTTATTTGTGACGGTTTTCTTGCCAAAAACACGGAAAAGGAAATTACTTCAGTCAGAAATGTTGCGTGGTGCAAGACTTGTTACTCTCTGATATTAAGTCCCCCACCCCCTTAAATACAATTTTGCATGGAATTAACATTGTTTTTTCTCTAAAATAGGGAGAACATTACAAATGGTCGAAACAAGCATGCGACAATGCGTTTCTACGAGATATGAAAACAGTTTGCAGAAGAAATCATCCTAGCAAGAAAAGCTGTCTGTTTACCAGTAAACTGTATCATAAGGCTGTTCTCCTACTCGGTCATTTTTTCTACAGAAAACCATCCTTGAAATTTTGTTATGAAAGCTGTGTAGAGAAATATGGCGACCCAACAATTGGTATTTAATCATCTGACATTTCACGTGCACACATGTTTAATTATAAGATATTAAAGTTTGTGATGCGGTAAACAATTGTATTTGGTAATTTTAAACATTTTAGTTATTAATGTTTATTGCTTGGTTACTGACATTTTAATTATTAATGTTTAGTGCTTGGTTACTGACATTTCAATAATTAATGTTTAGTGTTTGGTTAAAGTGACATTTTAATTATTGATGTTTAGTGCTTGGTCACTGACATTTTAATTATTAATGTTTAGTGCTTGGTTACTGACATTTCAATAATTAATGTTTAGTATAGTGTTCGGTTACAGTGACATTTTAATTATTAATGTTTAGTGTTTGGTTACTGACATTTCAATAATTAATGTTTAGTGTTTGGTTACTGACATTTTAATTATTAATGTTTAGTGTTTGGTTGCTGACGTTTTAATTATTAATGTTTAGTGTTTTGGTTGCTGACATTTTCATTATTAATTATTGTTTAGTGTTTGGTTACTGACATTTTAATTATTAATGTTTAGTGTTTGGTTGCTGACATTTTCATTATTAATTATTGTTTAGTGTTTGGTTATACATTAGATCTTTATAATCTTAAAGATATATGCCAGTTTGTGACATTGACGACGACAAAACAGAAAATGGCAGTTTTAAGACACTGTTCTCCTTCGGGAGGAAGTAATACACACTAATAGTAATTAATACGTTACTTTATTCGTATATTCGAGGTGTTTTACTTTTACACTACAGTGCCCTGCTTTTAGGTGTGAAATGTTGTGAATGGCTATATACAAATTAATTAAGGTCGTTTTTCCACTTCAACCGTATACTGTACCGAAGCGTATTTGATTGCTGGTAGTCAGGCGGATATCTGTAAAAATTGTGCATTTGAGGTAAAAAGCATGGCATTTTGCAAAACGTTAGTTCTCAGTGGCCGCTTAATGTTAATAATCTTAAATATAGTGCCAGCTGAAAAATTGATGTTGACGCCTCAAAATGAAGTTTTTTTTACAATTTTCCCATTAAAGAAAATTTCCCTTCCGCCCAGAAAAACCATGATCAAATTTCAGGTTCACCTGTGGTAAATATACAGTATACCTTACATAATCAGAAAGCTATATAAGACATTTAAGCGGTTTGCTTGCTTTTCTTCCCAGTTTTGAGTTATATGACGTTGTTTTTTTTATATAAACTCTTTATTAAAAGGTTTGCCTCAAAAGCCGTAGGTTTATCAAGGAGGCTCACGTGAAATTGAGACTGAATTGAGGTTTAAATGAAATTGAGGTTTAAATGTACTTTAATTTCACGTTTTGAAGGAATAATAACTCAAAAGGGACTAGAAAACCACTTAAATATCTTTTGCAAGCTTTCTAATGATTTAGGACTTTTAATCACCAACATTAAAATTCCAGATGGCACCATTTTCTACGATTAATAACCACATCGAGAACTATCATTTTGCCAAAATGATATATCATGCTTTTTACTCAAGTGCACAATTTTACTTAAATTTGCCATTGCAGATCCTTCCCACTACGCGAGCACTATAGAGAGTACTAGAGTAGAGTGGAAAACGGCCTTTAATTAAGGACCAAAGCTGTCAAAAGCAAATTCAAAAGTCCAGTTTTATGATTCAAAATTATTTAGTCTCTTATCTATGAGTATTCTGTCAACTAAGTAATTAACGAAGTTAACGATAAGCCACTTGCAGTGTTTTGTAAAGTTTCTTTGCGTATAACTATAAGTAAGATATGATTGTGGTGCGAAACATGTAATAAAAAATATGGTATATGAGACGTAATTTGCCAATGGAAATACGCACCAACAGGACGAAAAATAAAGACGGATTTTTCAACCAATCCAACTAATTTTGCCCGATTGGTTTCGTTCTAAATTTATACGGGACGGAAATCTTAGTCTTAGACGGAAATCCATCTTCAATCATGGATATTCGGGTAATCAGAATTGTGGGATTATATTTACTCAGGTTTACATCTGTCAGCAGGGACGCCGGAACGATAAAAAATCAAAGGGGGCAAACGCACACCAAAGGGGCACCTCTATAGATCCCGCGGTGAAGATATAAACCTACAATAATGTGTTGACTTGCCAATGAAAGCAAACGCACTTAATCAAGTCACATTCAAGATCACACCTCATGATTTTGCCCAAAAAGCATCACTGGAAATGTCATTTATCAGGTAGTATTTTACAACTCAAAGGGCACTTTTGCCCCCCTTGCCCCTCCTAGCAAAAGGCAAGAGGGGCAGCTGCCCCTCCTGCCCCCCAGTTCCGGCGTCCCTGTCTGTCAGTCAATCACCACATGTTATAATTGTTTTATATTATGTTAATGTAAAGTATGAACAGAATTTGTCTTTTTCTTGCTGGCAATTGTGGTGACTACGTGTCCCAGTTGTACATTGCAGATCAACGGTTGCAGCACATGCACCAGTGAACAAGCAGGATATCTTAAACGGAAATCCGTTTTAAATCACTCGGATATTCGGCTAATCAGAATTGTGGGTTTGTATTTATTCAGGTTTAACAAGCAAATTTATAAAATAATTGAAAATGTGCATATAGAAAGCTGTTTATGTGTATACACCAGTCAAACAGTCACCACATGTTATAATGAGGGTCCTGAAGGGGGGGGGGGGTTGTATTCCCATTTCCCAGCCCAAATTTTGACTAAATCCCATTGTCCCAGAGCACAAATTCCATCATCTCAGGGGTTGTCCTGCTCAAATCTTAATCCCATTCCCATTTTCTATTGTTTTTTTGCTGATGAATCCCAGTCCCAGTGCATGAAATCCCATTTTCCCACCCAAAAATAAGCAAATCCCAGTTTCCATTTTACCCCTTCAGGATCCTCTATAATTGCTTTATATTATATTGCTTGGGCTTTATATTACATTGTTGGCCGGTTAATGTAAATCATGAACAGATTTTGTGTATCAGTCTTTATCTTCCTGGCAATTGTGATGACTATTTGTTCCAGTTGTAAATTGCGGATCAATGGTTGCAGCACACCAACAAGCAGTAATTCCTGGCCTTACAAAAAATATTTTACTCCAGCATGCAATCGTCACGACGTTTGTTATAAATGTGTAAGTTTATCATTTGTATACTGTAAACAAAATTTTTTTGCACTTAATCGTCTTTCCTGGAAAACTGCAACAGACTTAATCCATAAACGCGTATAGCAACTAAGTTTTGCTACATAATAGTTTTCGACAGTAAAATAGTTGAATATAGACAAGCGAGATTTCCTAAACAAGCTTTCTCGAACAAGTTCCTTTTGAAGGCCACATACACACAATTTACTTGTGACGGCTTTCTTGCCAAAAATACGGAAAAGGAAATTATTTCAGTCAGAAAAGTTGCGTGGTGCAAGACTTGTTACTCTCTGATATTAAGTCCCCCACCCCCTTAAATAACAATTTTGCATGGAATTAACACTGTTTTTTCTCTAAAATAGGGAGAACATTACAAATGGTCGAAACAAGCATGCGACAATGCGTTTCTACGAGATATGAAAACAGTTTGCAGAAGAAATCATCCTAGCAAGAAAAGCTGTCTGTTTACCAGTAAACTGTATCATAAGGCTGTTCTCCTACTCGGTCATTTTTTCTACAGAAAACCATCCTTGAAATTTTGTTATGAAAGCTGTGTAGAGAAATATGGCGACCCAACAATTGGTGTTTAATCATCTGACATTTCACGTGCACACATGTTTAATTATATGAGATATTAAAGTTTGTGATGCGGTAAACAATTGTATTTGGTTATTTTAAACATTTTAGTTATTAATGTTTATTGCTTGGTTACTGACATTTTAATTATTAATGTTTAGTGCTTGGTTACTGACATTTCAGTAATTAATGTTTAGTGCTTGGCTACTGAATTTTAATTATTAATGTTTAGTGTTTGGTTGCTGACATTTTTCATTATTAATTATTGTTCAGTGTTTGGTTATATATTAGATCTTTATAATCTTAAAGATATAGCGAAACAATTGTCCCATTTCAGAGTTTTTTACAGTTTTCGTTTACGTACTCCCTATTAATTCAGTGTTGACCACTGCAGATCTTAAAATTAACTACAATCATGGCAAAAGTTCCATGGACGCTTAGTTGTAAACCATACATCTTTGTATCTCCCGTTCCGCTGAACAATGTTAGTTGTGACATTATTATATTGTATTTTCACAAAGCTTTCCGCTAATCAATATTTAACAAATATAAAACATTTTCCGTGTTGATAATGATATACAGTTATATCAACACGAGTGGTGTTGATATGTATATAGGTAATCGCATGGGGCAGAGTAAAATTAAGGTTTAATTTCACGCGTGTTTTCGAAGTTTCACAAATTGTGAAACTTTGAAAACACAAGTGAAATTAAACCTTAATTTTACGAGAAACTATGCGATTACTTGTTAATCACAGAGGGCAAAATTTATTCGTAAGTTAATTGTGAACTTGTCAAGTTCTTGAACCTCGTATGTAATTTCCATGTCTTCGCTCTTCGCCGATGTTTCTTAATGCTGCCCTCCCTGGTCATTTCTTAAATACTCCAACCAATAAATTTGTACTTTTTCTAGTGTAAGTTCAAGTTTTCTGACTAGAAGTTTTTAATTCTTCAATAACATTATTATCCGCAACGACAAAGCGAAAAGCCATTGTTTTTATTCAGCTATTTAAATAATTTAATTAAATCAAGAAATTCCCGCGCTTGCGTCTCAGCCAATCAGGTACAAGTAATTTTGCCCTGAATTAAGAAAAAATGCCCTCTTCATTAGCCAATCACATTTGAGTAATTTTGCCCTCTATATGATTAAACTATATATCAATACGGAAAAAATGTTTTATATTTGTTTTATAATATCTGAGCACAAAGAAATATAAAGAAAGAAATTTTCCGACGTTTCCGTGTTGACATTGAGTTATATCAACACGACTCAAAGAGAGGCCATTGCTAACCTATTTCTACCTACAATCGCGTGCAAAAATAATGAGACTTTTCACATTTTTGGCCATTTTAAAGTACGTCGGCCTCCCCCCTGCCCCCATGCATGATCAATGTTGGAAAAAGTGGCTTGTATTTTCTCTTTTCAGTCATTCACACAACATTGAATTGGGGGTGAGGGGAGCATTTATGCGGGTTGTCTCAATAATTTTTGCTCCTGAGTTGTAGACAATATGTACCTTTTTCCAAATTGCGAGAATCTCTTCTAGCATGTCACCAACATCATACACATGCAGTAGATATTATTGCCGGGTGGTCAGTCCAGTATGGCCGCCATTGGCTTCATTTTTGCATCAGTAGTAGATGCACTCCAGTGTTATATAGTCTTTCAGATCAGTGCCAAAAATCAACTATGTTACATCTTGAATAAGTCATCGTTAATTCAACTTCAATTTATTAAATTTTAACCAAACAAAAAATAAAATACAATACACACAATGCAATTAAGAAAGAGCGGGAAAAGTATTAAATACGAGATGATATGTGTTATAAAGGCTTATAAAGTTTTGGGCACATTAAATAATAACAATTCATGCCCTTTATTAGCGGATGAAATTGATGGAAATGAATTGTAGCAGCATATACGTATGGATTTTTCAAAAAGATTCATATTTTGTTAGACACATGCAATTACACAAATCAATGAATCGTAAATGTGTTTGCATGTCAAGAAAACGTAATTATCATCAAGGAAGCAGGAAAATGATAATATACAAAAGAAGTTTTATACACACTTTGCAGCTTTGACAGTTCTTGTAAATATGACAATAAAAATTGTATCGTCTAAGAGATATATAGTGAAATTATTGACTTTAAAAAATCTTTAAAGTTTGCGATGTATGTATATAGTGACTAACTATTCTAATTTCTATGCTTCAAATAATAGAGAATGTTACTTAATCATTTCCTCCTTTGTAGTATACCCCATGATTCCTCCCGGCCCTTAGTTAGAACGGTAATATTCCTCTATTGAGAGAAGACATAATCGAGTTTTAAAATTGCGACTCCGGTTTACAACGTTCGTAGAATCTGTTCCGTCAAGATCACTTTAGATGCCTCAATTGCCTTGAGTTGAGTAGACTTTGCCAAACGTGGCTATCAACTCGCGTCTAGGAATAACCATTTAACCTTAATTTAACTGGTGCAACTCTTAGATGCAATCAATATTCAATACTGTTGTCGGGCAGTTGGTACTTGGTGTGCTTCCTTCATAACGACAGACTAGATAATACAAGCAGCATGCATATGCATCATTTGAAGCATCAGAGAATATCATGTAATTCTATTTACAGCCGGGAGGGAAACATTGTGGAATCTGGAAGGTGTCGTGACTCGTTCACTCAGTTTTGCCCGAGTGGTTTGGAAGGGTGATCGGTAGTGGATCATCCCAGTAAAGCCCAGTAGTCTATATGTCTTGCATAAAGATTTTGGCTCTTCCTTTGAAAGGTGAAAGAAATTAAAGTGAGGGCCTCTAAAATATAAGCAAAACATTGGAAGAAAAATGGAACTGAAATTTGTTTTGTGAATATTATGTCCTGTCTTTTATCTTCAAATGATCCAACATCTTTTTAAAAATGCTAAACAGTTGTGTTGTAAAAGTGGACCTTACATTTTAAACATTTCCAAGTGGATAGCATATCCCAGACCCTATAGATTTGAGTTGTTGGAAGGCTAGGCTAAACAAGTTAGTGACTGAGTTAACGTTGTGCGGATCAGTATTTGCATGACTTACATCAGTTCTTAACTGAAGATATAGTGTATCTACAGTCATAATTTAAACGTTTTATATCCAAAAATATATTTCAGAAAACGTGCAC